GTTAACCGTCAGCTGTCAAACGGCCTAAAGTTCAACCGTCAGCCGGGGAAAAAAGTTATCTTTTTACCTTCAACCGTCAAAAGTGCAGACTAAAATTAACCGTCAAAAAGTTTCAAGGAATTCAAAATCTCACATTTTAAGCTGATGTTCACGGATCTCTGGATCCTAAACAAACTCTAAAGTAAAATAAAACCTGTTCCCTAGTTCTCAAAAACACTTTTTCGAGGCATTACAGGTCTTGCAAAACCTTACAGTTTGCTTATATCTGAAAACGTTTCGAATTTTTGTAAGTGAAAGGCCTTGACAGCCTCCAAAACAAAACAGTTAATATCAATTTATATAGAAATTAATATTTACTTTAACTCTTGGACTAAATTTCCACTTTAAGTGGACATCTTGACAAAAAAAAATTCATTCAATGGAAACATAAAAGAAAAAAAATTCATGCTGCTCGAAGATACCCCTCCCCCCCCTCATAACTTTTCTAAAGGTCCGTCCCTTTATAACCATCAACCGTCAGAAGCTCTAAAATTTAACCGTCAACCGCCAAAATCTGAAAAGAAATAATTACCGTCAACGTCAAAGCCACCACCCCATTGAGACCCTCGTTAAATGACAGAATTTATTTACTTGTCGTGTTATTCGCTAACCTCGTACCTAGAGAGATCTGGGTACGAGATTAGTAATTCGCCACTTTCAAAACGAGAAGGAAACTGGGACGAGTTAACTTTCGAAATGACCTCTGGGACTGTTATTAGGGACAGGGAACAATTAGCCAATAGCTGACCAGCGCGAACTCAGTAGCGATCCCAAAAACAATTGCGGCACGCATTTCGGCTCCAGTTCCCTTAACGTTTCTTAAGTGGTGACACTCTTCCTCTCGCAGATGTAAAGAGAGCTGTTGTCGCCATAACAGACGGATTCAGCACACGAGGATTTGAGTATACAAATGAGCTAACAGACCAGCTGAAGCAAAGCAGAGTTCAGTTTTTCTCCGTGGGAACGTCTAAACAAGTGAATAAACCAGAGTTGGACGAAATTTCCAGTCAACCAGTAGACATTCATGAACTTATAGTGGACCTTAAAAATCGATCTTTCACTAAAGCGCAAGTGGAGCGCCTAGCTAAAGATATCTGTAAATGATATTAACTGTATACCGTATTATATTTGGCTTAATCCATTAGTTTGAAAACCTATCGTAGAAGTTGTAGATATCAATACAGCGATTATTTCCGTGATCAATAAAAACAGATAAATTTCTGAAATTCATTAATTTATATCGCGCAAATATAAACAGTAAACAGTTTTCAAATGCGTATAAGGCGCGGTTCAGACGCCAAACTTTTCATGAGCCGAACCTAATTCAAATTAAGGCCGACCCAAATTATTTAGACCGGCTGAATTGATTCAGACGCCGATCTTAATACCAGCCTAACTAAATTCAAAAGGAGAAAAATGATCATTTCCGTCAAACTATTTTCAAAATACGTTATTATAATTTATGCATTAGAATCGGTACAGGAAAAGTTCGGCGTCTGAATCAAAGCCGTTCCAAATGTCGCTCCGAAGGCGAAATTCCCGGCCGGGATGGCGAAAAGAACGGCTGAGCCGTTCCAAATTGATTCAGACGCCGAACTTTTCATGTACTTAATTCAATGTATTAGGTTCGGCTCATGAAAAGTTCGGCGTCTGAACCGGGCGTAACAACGACTAAAAACACAAAAAGTTGTAAAACTACTAATATCATGGGTGCTAAATTACTCCTTAATTTTGGAGCTAAATTTCAGCGTTAATTTGTAATTGCAATTTGTAACCATGGCGGATGGAATAAGCTAGTGAAAGCAATTAGATGCTAGTATAAGGCAGCCCCAAAACTCGCGCTGCAGTGGCATGGTTAAACTTTATTTGTAGATACAGAACCTGCTGGTGAGCCTCAAAATCCAACATCGGACAACTTACAAGTAAATTTCTTGGCTGTGATGATGAAGAAGATGTGAAAGAGACACTTCAAATACCGCAATAGTTAGTGTCTTCCAAACTCGAAGCTTACGCTACAGAAATGGAAGTAAGAGCCTTTGAAGTCTTTGCCCATACAAGCTGTGGTTATCAAGACCGAGAAATACATGGTTAAGGTATCAGGGGGGCCTTTGAACAAGAAGGTTGAGTTCCTGGCGAGACTTAAAAACTTCGTGAAGAAAACGTTAAAGGAGCAACGCCGTGGAGTCGGCAATCCTTCAAAAAACTCTCAACTTGCCTACACGAAGTTATGAAAGTATCACTACTATAGTGTTAACTATTAGATAGTTTTTTTTTTCAATCTAACTCATATCATTTGTGTTCCTCTTATACTAGCCGGGTGTGTCATTCAACAGACATTCCTTCAGCAGTGAATCATTTCACTGCGAACGTGGTTGCCAAAAATTACTAGCAAACCGTTATAGAAAGAGGTTGTCATTGAAACGTTTATAACAATAGATATATATTTTTACTTAACCTTGAGTTAAGAGAAGTTTATCAAATATTTACACTATACAAGCAAACAAAAGGGGCTGGTTATTAATTTTAAACAAAAACACCGTTTTGAACATCCGTTCAAAGTTCTTGCAGGGGTGATTTATTCCAAGAAACTGGTTTTCTAGCCTGGACTTCAAGTCTGCTCAGCAAGCGATGTTTAAATATATTAAAGGTTGATAAAATTGAAAACAGCTTAGGACACGAGTTTTATTGACACGATGTTTTGTGTTAGACACCCTGTCTAGAAGACTACTGGTGTTTTCAATCAAGTGGAAAAATCAGGTGGTATGTTGTCCTAGCAATTAGCATCCTAATGGTTCCATAGCAGCTGTGAGCAGGTCCTAATTTGCCGTTAATTTTTACATTAAGTAACTATTTTTAAGCCTGTGCTTCCGCTCTTTAAGTTGAGTCTGTTGATTTAAATCTCGTTGATTTGAGCTTCGTGGTAAGTAGAGCTAAAATTACCACCCAATCCTGCTTTCCTTGACAGATTTTCCATGGTGCAAAACTGTAGCATTTTTTCATGATCAAGGTATATTTGCTAGAAAAAAAGTATTATTTATAAGTATTATTTTATTATTATCATTCGGGGACGTTGTTAAAACAATTTTCCAAAAAACATTCATCATGATGTACGGTAATCATTCCTAGATTAACGTCAGACAGGGGGAGAGAAATGAAGGACATTGAACTAACATTCTAGATCTTGAGGAAATTGCATAGCAAACTTGACTGTTTAATTATGTCGCGGGAGATATTGTATAAGTTTTGGACGTTTTGGAATTTTCTATGTTTAGTCGCATTTATTCTCGTTGTAGCTTCTCTGTATCTATTTGTTCGTAAGTTTCACATTATCCTACTTTCCTTTTTGCTTCTAAACGTTATTCCTAGATAATTGTTTTCTGCAAGTTACTCAATGAAGTTGCACCTCCTCACTTCAATAGGCCGCGAATTTTAGTCAAAAGAATATTTAAACAGTATCGTTGAATTTCCAATTCTTTTCATAGACTTATATATAGTCATCATTTATTTTGCCTTAAGTTACTCGCGGAAGAAAGTTTTTCTCTCCTTGTAAATAATAATTTAGTTTCCTTTCAAGAGAAGTCTCTCTAAACTGTCACTCAACTAGTTCTTACAATGTAAAATGCTACTTAAGCAGATTTTGGTGAAACTCAGTACTTTGTTTCTACACGTAGTCGCGTGCCACGCAGAAGTACTTTTAATAGTGTGTAATGTTAATTCTCTATATTTTAAGCAAGTGCCCTCTAAATATTCAAGATTAGTCGGTTATGTTTTAGTCCTTGTGTGAGGAAGAATAAAGGTTCTACGCTGGTTCAAGAACAAATTAGCAAATAATTTCTAAACCGCTCGATAGATTTTTTAGAAAAATTAAGATTCTTGAGATTAACCTTCCTTTTATGTGACCTTTTAGTTTCATGATTATTGATATATTGTAAGGTAGTAAAATAAGGGCTACAATTCGCTAATATTTTGGCAGAAATTTTGTGTTTACAAGTGTGAGCCTCTCATTATTCAGGGTATTGCGTCCAAGTTTCATATTTTCGTGCACAACAAAAGCTAGAATTTTTGCATATTTTAAATGCATTGTTAGTCACTGCTGTTCACGTGAAAATGAAACTTGGAGACAATGCCTTGAATAATTAGAGGCTTTCACTTGTAATGACGAAACTTCCGATAAAAAAGTAACGAATTGTAGCCCTTATTTTACTGCCTTACAACAATCGAGCCACCTTAAGTCACAGTTGGTGAGATCCTGTGTACTAGGGCTGTGATGAGCCTTGTTCTCGCTTTTTATCTTTGTCTCAAACTAAGTGACTTTTTACTCTTTATTTCAGCTTATCATGATAATCTTTACAGCGTTCCTTGCTTGGTTTATCGTATTAGCAAGTGAGTGAGAAAAAGCTACGTATGAACGAATTTAGTCCATATCAGAGATAAAGTTTATCATCATCATCATCATCATCACCAGTTTGACTGAAAGAGAACACTAGATAGATTAGTGCAGACGTTCGGCCTTCAGTGATTTCAAAGGCTTGACACATTCACATGAAGACATCCTACTCTTTTTTTGACTTTTTCTGCTCGAAGGGCGGCTTAAAACCAATTTGAAAATCAGAGAGGCGGAGGAGAGGGGGCAAGGCATCCACCCACAACCCCCTTATTTATTTAAGGGGGATTCCTGACCATAAATATATTGAGCAATTTATCCCCCATTGTAACCAGCGAAACGTGCTGTATAAAAAATTGCATTTTATTACTGAATTAATTATAAGTTTTAATTTGTGTTTTCATTTAATTGTGCTAACTTTGCCCTCGACAGAAATCATAAAAAAGTTTTTTAACTGCGTTGCACTTTACTTTTATACATATTAAAGCTTTCGTGAGAACCAGCGTTAGTCTTCCTTAAGTTCAGAGTGACCTCTTTCACTTATGGGAGATAATTAAGAGGACCAGCATTTTTTAATCTGTATTTTTGGTATATAGTTGGTGAATTCAGATGTCATGAAAAGATTGACTTGGCAATATTAGTGGACTGCTCAGCGAGTGTCACAGAAGACCAGTTTGCTGCTACCAAGGAATTTGCTGCGGAACTCGTAAAACACTTCGATATTTCAAAGAAAAGGGCAAACGTGGCTGCTATTTCATTTAGCCAGTACGTTCACACGAAAAAGGATTTCAAAGATGATACGTCCTGGGAATCTGTCTTGAAGGCCATAAATGAACTCGACTATGAAGGATCCTTCACGAGACTGGATTTTGCCCTTGAAACTTTACGGGAACGTACCTTCAACAAAGCTTACGGGGCAAGAGCTCCTAGTAAAGGTACTTAATGCACCCATTCTCTAATGCATTTACAACTTTTTATGTTGAAATCAAAACTTGCGCGATAGCCACTATTGCCCGCGGTTAGATGTGTACCGATTAGTGTCCTAGACCCTGACCATATTTAAGGATGAGGCAAAAAATAATTGATACTCAACCTAAAAAATGACACACTGTTTGTATTTTCTAAGCTTCTCTTTCATCCGCTTGTCAATCCGTCAACCTCGTAACCTTAGGAAAAATAGGCTGGTGGACCATTTTATTCCTGCATAGTTCCCGGTTTGGGTAAAGCCTAATCCTTCGGCCGAAGGTGTGTCGACCCGAAACATCCCACCACGCCCGAGAAAAAAAGTGTAGTTTACATGAAGTGCAAGCTCAGACAGGGCAACTTTCTGAATACCCAGCCTCACTCCCCCTCCCCCCTACTTTCACTCGTTAATTTCACTTGCTAATTCACTCGTGTAATTCGCCACTTCAAAAATAAGAGGGAAACTGGGACGAGATAACTTTCGCAAAGAATTCTGGGACTCTTACCAAGGACAGCGAAAATTTAGCCAATAGTTGTCCAGCGTGTCACCAGTAACGATCCCAGAACCAATTGCCGGACGCATTTCGGCTCCAGTTCCCTTCTTCATTCTTAAGCCCCGTGTGCAAATGGCCGCAACATAGCTGGATGCTACATGTTGCGTCCCTTTGCACACCCTGTTGCATGGTGTTGTGTGTTGTTGCGCAAAGTTTGAAACCCCGCGGTCAAACTTTTAGCTACGTGAAAAAGGGCGCCACAACACCCAACATTGTTGGCCCAACAATGTTGGGAGTTGTTGCCTCCGTTTGTACGTAGCTTTATATGGCACTGTACTGTTCTTCTCGCAGATGTAAAAAGAATTGTTGTCGTCATAACAGACGGATTCAGCAGCTTAAGATTTGAGTATACAAAAGAGCTAACAGACCAGCTGAAGCAGAGCAGAATCCAGTTTTTCTCCGTGGGAACGTCTAAACGAGTGAATAAACCAGAGTTAGACGAAATTTCCAGTCAACCAGTAGACATTCATAAACGTATAGTGGACCTTAAAGTGCAACTAACCCCCAAAAATGTTTTTCGCTAAATGAAATCTCCTTATTTTTCTGATTACTTTTGCGAAAAAATTATCGTGATTGACAAAATCCTCGCGTTTCCATGGCTGTTTAAAGTTAGGTCTCTTGTGTCCCATTACCGAGGTTCGTGGGAGCTGGGTACGAATGTTGTTGTGACGTCATCGAAGGAGGACATCTGCCGCGGACTCATGAGTAAATGACCGAGAAACGATAAAGGGAAAATCATTTTAACTGATTTTAAGCGAGCGGGATACTAAAACGACCAAAATTCAACGGAATATGTCTTTAAGTGATTCAAGTTCTGAGAGAAGTTTTAATTCAGAAGATTCTGAGGCAAATTTGGCCGAAGTGGAAGATGAAC